AAGGAGAAGGAGAAGGAGAAGGAGAAGGAGAAGGAGAAGGAGAAGAAGGAGAAGGAGGAGAAGGAGGAGAAGGAGGAGAAGGAGGAGAAGGAAGGAGAAGGAAGGAGAAGGAGGAGGAGGAAGAGGAAGAGGAGGAGGAATGAGATACATATTTGTATATGGAAGATTTTAAAGATTAATATTCAAGCAAAACCAGAGACTTTCCTTTTGGGTATGATGGATTAAACAGTTAGAAAAACTCATGGAACTTTGTTTTTATATATGATAACAGCATCAAGGCTTTTACAGGCACAGAGGTGGAAAGATAAGACACTACTTATAGTGGAGGAATGGATGGTGAAGATGATGGAGTTGGCTGAGATGGCAAAATTGACTGCTTTGATTTGAAAGAAGACATTGTGTAATTTTAATGCTAACTGGAAACCTCTTTTGGATTTTTTGCAGGAAATAGAAGAAAATGAAATTATATTGTATGGATTTGTTGATTAGAAATAATATGGGTTAATAGAAATAATGGAAGTTATATTTTAAATTTAGAGTAAGAGTTTGATGCATATTGTTACTTCTATCTGTTTCAAGAAGGGTCAGAAGTCAATTCTTTTTTTCCTTTATTGTTTTTTCCCCTCTTTTTCTTTTCTTTCCTGTACTTTTGATCTTTACTATTTTTTCATTTTCCAATATTCTTTTCTTTCTCTTATTCTTTCTTTTAATATTCTTTCTTGTTAGTTTTTACTGTTTTTTTTTAAGTAATCAAGTTATTACAAAAAAAGGGGGGGTCATTCAGTTCAATTCTCTCACCACAGACTGCTTAATTCCCTGGTTAGATGAAAGGGAGAAAAATTCAAAAAGTACTAGGATACATGTAGACTATTTTCAGGACAACCCCACAGCCTAGATTAGTCATGTTTTTCCCTTCATGGAGAAGAGGAGTGTGAACATTCCTGAAGAAAAATAACCGCCATGTAGTGTTATGATTAAAAACAAGAGTTTTATTAGTTTATTAGGGGAGGCTAACTTTCTCTGAGCTGTAGAATTTAAACATGGCTAAGGGCCTTTGCAATCAGTAATAAAGTAACCATTTTACGATGACTGGTGTGGGTCTTCCGGGC